TCTGTTATTGCTGACAAGTTTTCCTCCCGTGTCCGTGTTGCAGTTAAGATAGCACCCACGTTCCTTCCATGCTCCGTGTGATGACCAAGGCTGGTGCATTATGTAGTTCTCGGGTGCTCTGGTGGGCGTTAGCTGGCCCTCATCGAAGGTAAATGCCAGCGTGTGCTGACAAGCCAGGAGAATGGGAGGGGAAGAACACATCCGCCATGTCTAACTTGGTATCCTGCTGTGCTCCGGCGGTATCCCCTCCGGAAAGCTTGCGCCACTGGTGCCCAGCATGTGTCACGGTGTTTAGAGTCCTCTCGACGGAGGCTGGCTGCTGATTCCCGCCATAGGTAGCCACAGCGGTGACCCCAGGGGCTGACGGTGGACTCCCTTTTCCCACGCGCTGGGGGACTGCCGCCCATGCAGCTGGCTCTGCGTCCCCACCATCTTTTCCCTTACACATTGGCACCCATAGCTCAGCCTGGGACAGGAGAGATCCACCCTCATTCCCGTCTTCACAGGCGGCTCCGGGATCATTCCCCCCGCCCCCCCCGCCCTTGAGCAGCTGTGACGGGTGATCAGCTGCTGACACACCCGCCGCCTTTCTGCCTTCGCCTCTGCATTTCGAGCCTCTTTGAGTGACTGCCCTACAGCCGCTTGCGATTCTCGGGCCCCCACGGCCCTTCTCTCAGCTGCCTGCTCTGCTATTGCCACCCGCTGAGTGAGCTCTGGCAGCTGCACATCGAGCTGGGACACTTGCAGCCTCAGGGAGGTCACCGTTGCTTTTCTGCTCTCAGCTCAGCAGCTCGCTGTTCAATTGCCTTCCCCTTTTCCTTGTCGGACTCACAGCCGGATCAGCCTGTCCCTGCAACAAGGACGCCCGGTGGTCCTGTTCTCGGCTGACAGGTGCCAAGGCGTACAGCAAGGCGTCTTGCAGCTTTCCCAGGGATTGCTTTGCTGGAGTGGTACCTGTGACAGACCGGGCCGAGTCTGGGCACAGCTGAGGGCGTCCGCTCAGGGCGAATTGCTCAAATCCGGGGCTCCTTACAGCCCCAGACCGGTGACCTCTCCAAACAGGCCACAAACCAGTCCCATAGAGCGCTTGAGCAAAACCCCTCCGACACCCCAGCAATATCCGTGCCCCAGATGGCCCCGGGCCTCATACACAGGTGGGGGGTCCTAGCACCCAATCCCACCTACCCCGAACAAGTTCTGTCCGGTTCCAAGAAACCAGCCACAGATCCCTGGTCAATTTACCCTCTGGACCTTACCCACAAATCACGCTGGGCCAATCCTTTAGAATCTATATCTAAAGGTTTATTATTACAAGAAAGAAAAGCCTGAGAGTAAGGTTATTAAAGTACAGTACGTTACATGCACCGAATCTCCCAGTCCTCGATGCAGGCTCTAGCAGAGATGTTGCAGCTGCTGGTTAAAAGTTCTTATTGCACATCCTACGATCAGGATGGGTCCACAGGTCTTCCGGGCTCTTCAATCCCTGCAGTGCTGCCTCTGGGATGAAGTGCTGAGCTGAGTCCTAAGATGGAGTCGACCACATGGCCTCTTTATCCCTCCTTCCTGGTCTCTTCTTGGCTGCAGCAGGTCACCTGGCCAGTGGCCTATCCCTGTGTTCCCTGCTGGCAGCCCTCTGGTGACAGCCCCCATTCTTTAGGTGTGTCCTTGGCCCATTGAGAGCCATTGTCCCAAAGGGGACCCAGCTGCTGACACCTACTCCTGGGCCCAGGCGCCCCCCGGCTGTCCGGTCTTGCCGGGGTGAGTGGTGGGGAGGACCCTCAGAGTCGGTTCAGTCCCTCCCTCGGGCTCGCGGGCCCACTGTCGCTAAACACAGCGGAACCCTAAGGACTCCGCCGCCGGGTTCGGGGCCTGACGCCGGAGGGGTCCTGCCGCGGTCGCCAGGAACTGTTACCCCAGGGGCCTGGTGACGCTCAGACAGAGCCTGTGGGGGATGCCCCAGTCAAAAGAAAACAGCCGCCCCCCCGCAGGGTCTAGCACCTGTGAGTTGAGCGGGTAAAGACGAGACGCAAAATAAGGGTGAAAACAGAAGGCAACTGTCCTGGGGGTTTGCCCCGTGTCCGGGGGGCGACCCGTCAGCAAATGGGGCAGTGAGAGTCAAACACCTGCGGGGCCCGGACCGCCCCAGCCGGACGCGCGAAAGCAAATGGCGAGTTGGACCCACTAGTGTGAGTGACCACGCGACTCCCGTGGGCCGGCGTGGCCAGAGGCGGTGCCCAGCACCTGCAGCCGTTGGGCTGGCTGAGCGCCTGCGGGTGTGTGGGGGGGGCCCTGGCGAGGATGCAGGCTCATGACACTGGTGCAGCGGGTGGGTGGTGGCGGGGGTGTCCCAGTGGTTCCCAAACTGTGGTCCATGGATCCCTGGTGGTCCACAGTGGTACTGCAGGGGCTCTGTGGAAAGTTTGAAGTTTTCTCTTTCTTTCCTCACTAGACTTTTCCTGACTTTTTTCCTCCCCCGGGGCGGGGGGGGGGGGTCCCTGAAATGTTAGTAGATTGAAAAGGGGTCGATATGCTCGAAGAGGCTGGGAGCCACTGGGGTGTCCTCGTCTCTCCCTCGGACTGGCTTGTGGCTGTGGCGGATCGAGGGTTGCCAGGTGCCTGGTATTGACCCGGACAAGCCGCTATTTTTGCCTCCTGTCCAGTAAAAGAATTCAGAAAATACCGGACACCTGAAATGTCCTAAAATGTCTGGTGCTTTCTGATTTATTCCCGGCCAGGAGGCGACAATCCCGGGTGCTCACCGGGTCCCGCAGGGGAGCTGTCTGGCCGGAGCAGGAAGACGGGATGGTGGACGGCCGCTGGCAGAAAAAGCCTCTAACGCATTTCTTAAAGGGGCCAGGCTGGTTTTTTTAATGTTTTAATTTTTTTTGCTTAACAATTCTCGGGGTCCCTTTTTTTTTTGCTCAACAACTTTGGTCTCCCCCTTTTCTTTTCCTCAACAGAATTTTTTCCCAGGTGTTTCTTTTGGGGGTTGGGGGTGTTCGGTATTTTGGGTTAAACCATCTGGCAACCCCCGTCGGATCCCTCGGTGGGCTCAGGCGAGTGCTGACGACCGCGGGAACGCAGCCCCCGTATGGGCCGAGTCCCCACTTCTAAAGCCTCGGGGCGGGGAACCCCTCCCTGCCTGGGTCACTGGTACACGGCCTCCGTTTTGTTTTTCATGAGCAACCCAGAGATAGCGTTTAGCGTTCTCAACTAGGCGCACAGTTCTTCTCGTTAACGCGTTTACGCGAGTGACGCCGATCACCGGGCCTTCCGCCCACGGTCGCTGGGCCCAGCGGCGCAGGGGTGGGGGTGCCAGTGGGGCGGGGAACCCCTCCCTGCCTGGGTCACTGGTACACGGCCTCCGTTTTGTTTTTCATGAGCAACCCAGAGATAGCGTTTAGCGTTCTCAACTAGGCGCACAGTTCTTCTCGTTAACGCGTTTACGCGAGTGACGCCGATCACCGGGCCTTCCGCCCACGGTCGCTGGGCCCAGCGGCGCAGGGGTGGGGGTGCCAGTGGGTGTACACGCCGGCGTGTGGCGGGGGGGTGTGGGCACGGCGCT